GCACTGTCTGACGCGTCTGCCTCCGCGACCCGAAAGGAGAAGCGGCGATGGAAGATGAAGATGAAGATTAGCTCTGACGGAGTCAGAGGAATAAAATTCAGGAATGACGGCGGGCAGTAACGTTTACTTTAAACTGAGCGGCGGGTTCAGCTTAAATTATGGTATGAGTCACTGGTCGTTGGGCGCACGCCTTGTAAATTCGTGTTGTACACCACAGATTTTAATCCTTTTTTTGCTGACAAGTGATGTTCTGACAACCGAAGTTTTTGAAAGATGCAAATTTGAAACTGAGAAGTAATGATACTGCTATTGAAAGACCTTCTGTTCAAACCAAATCTCAAAATACTATCCACTTTACTGAACAACGATCTTTTAATCTTCCTTAAGCTTAGCTCTTACTGCTAATATCACGAGTTTTATCCACATATTAAGGATGGATAAATTAAACAGCAGAATGTTAAACAGATGTTAAACAGTAAAAGGAAGTTTAAAACAAGTCCAAAACTATAAATATCTTCGAATGAAATTGCGGTAGCCGCTTTGACGATAGGCAGTTTCGTATTGAACAAGAACAATAACAATAACAGCAAGTTGCTGTGACAGTTTCCAAATGATGACTTATCTATGGCGTTTATCTTTGGAATCTACTGCTCCTTAAAGGATTCGGATTAAGCGATGGCATTGATGACTGCGTGCGATGAATCTTGGAGTTCTTTTTTGACCAGCTCAAGGACAGCTATAAGTAGCTGATTTTTGGGGTATTTTGCTACCAACCTTGCAGGTGACAAAATTTTCTCGTCTTCTTCCGATGTCGCTACATTCTACGCGATTACGTTTTTCGGCTCAGCTACGATCCTTTTGGTTCTTTCATTGTTTCACATTGACTTTGTAGTTTTTAGAGCGTTTGACAGTGCTTTTACAAATTAACGAAACTTAGATGAATTTGTCTGGATTACTAAATGTACCCGTATTAATTAAGTAATGGTACTTTTGTTCTAAGTTGGCACACCCAGTCAGTTTGTCTAACAGATCCACTGTTTATCATTTCGTAAAGTTCTCGTTCTCAGAATGTGCCTTGTCCGAAAGTGAATATTTGTTTTTTACGTAGCGCTGCACTTTGACTTTTGATATATTGAAGCTATCACGACTGAACATCTTATTCATCCTTTCTCAGCTTTCTTTTGAACAGCGATCTCTGTGCCGCATAAAAGCACTCTATGAACCGGGACGATTTGGAAGGGGTATTTCCCTCTCTACCCATTGAATAAAGAAGTCACCGCGATTTTGTTTAATTCTCAATTGGCGATATCGTGTCTGGATGGCGACGGAATCGAGGTGGTTTAACTATGCGACCGTTTGTCCCGCTTCGCCTCGTTGCATCCGTTGTACCGACTGAGTTCGTCGTCAGTTTTAAGTTTTCGCCTGAGAAATAGGTCGACTTTTATGGCTTGCTGCCTACCGAAACCGTTAGATGGCGACCCTGGCATTTTATGCTACTCGGAATGTCAAAGTGATCTGCATTCTTCAGGTCAGCGGGATATCTGGCTTGAGTTTCGCCTCCCTTCGAGAATGTAACTTTTGTTTTTGCTCATATCAGTTCTGTTTCGAAGCAGAATATGGAAAACAACGTTTAACAGCAAATGTAGCAAATGCGAAAGTACCCATTTCTGGTTAGCTACATTGTTTAAAGTCAACCAGTCATGCACTCACGTAACTGTCCTTTGACTTTGATGTCAGACATGGTTCCTTCCTCACGTTTTCCAAAGCAGAAACAAACAGTTTCCTTGTTTGTGCCCACCTTAACATTTTAAGATTTTTCGCATCGTTGAACGATGTGTTGAATCGAATGCAGCTTTGATGTCGATGAAAGTGCCTAACGAAGATAGCTGGAATCGCAACATTGCTCTGTGATTTTACAGATAGTGAAGATTTGGTCGAAGCAGTGATATCACACCTGGAAGTTTTTCTGATTTGATTCAAGCGTCCCATCAGTCGCTGTCAGGTTTTACAGGATGGTTCAGAAAGTGATTTACCCGTAGTTGGCGATAGCATGATGCCTTAGTCGGACCACTCAGTTACACATCCGTTTTAAATGTGGGCGTACGGCGCAGCGCAGCGACTCGTCGCTTCAGTCTTCCCGGTAACATTTTCAAGATCATACGTGATATAAAGGACGGGTAGGTTTTTGATCATTTTCGTTTTTTGTACTTGATTAAAGCCGGTGGAATAGAATTCACATGATACGGTCCCGTTTCTTTAAGATGCAACTGGGCATTTTAATTTTATCTTTTGTGCATGAATCTGTACAAATCATTCGTATGAACAGATAATTAGCTGTTCTGGCGGTTAAATTTAGCTGCTGAGGCTGCTGAAAATGCTGAGCTCATGTTTTGAAACCGTGCTTTCGATATGGTGACTATTTGCTTTTCTTGTATCGCACGTGAGTGCAGTTTTGATGTCACTGCGTACTGAACAGTTGTTGTACTATATCCCGGGCGTAACGGCATCGCAAAGGGAACATTTATTCTTCTTATGCACACCTGCTGTAATTGTCATTCGTACTGCATTCGTTCCTACTGGTCGACTTGTGCTGTGATTCGGTTCCCATATGAGATGCGTGCGGGCTGACGCAAACGGCGTATGTACGACCACCTTGTCAAGCGGGGCGAACCTCACTGTTTTCACCTCCACGTCTCTTGAAAATTCCTCTGCCTGGAATAGAATAGAGCTACTCCTGACATCGTGCCATGTGTCATTAAATCGCTGACACTGGACTTGCAGAAAAATAAACAGGCCTTAAACATCGCGGAGTAAAGTCACGCCATAATGTAAATTCTGCTAACCTAAACCTTGAAATCCATTGATTTTACGCTGCTTGTTCGAGATGTTTTCACGCTCTTTCGCTCTAGGATGCAGACCGGTGTGATTGTTCGCGGAACATCGATGTTGCAGGTGTATCGTACAATACTGAAAACCGAAGGCGTTGTGCACGGCTTGTACAAGGGTTTAAGCATGAACTGGATTAAAGGACCAGTAGCCGTTGGCGTTAGTTTTACTGTGTATGAAACGCTTGTTCGAATGTTTCGTCAAGTTCCTTACATCAGCAAAAGAATTTCTTCATGAATGCTACTTTCACCTCATCTTACAAGCTGATTTCGTTTGCTCGTGCCTTTCGGCTAAGGGTCGCTCGCTAGCTCAGCGGTAAAATTTACACTTTTGCCTCGTATGAAGAGTCGGCATAGAGTACAGATGATATTGTTAGGTCTATGGCATTCATTGCTTTGTTTAAATTTGTTTCTTTCATTCGTGGCAGCTTGTGTTTGTGCGAATATTTCCTCAACATTTCTGATGCCATGCTACAGCGTTATTGCTTTTATTAGTTGGTGAAAAAGACTGATTTTATTCTGGCCGGTTTAGAGCGCGGGCCTGGCCTGTTTTGAACGATTTCTTGATTTGAGTCATTAATGGTGCCTTTTACTGTTGCTCGTTCCTCGCGGTGTATTATTAGCTATTTTTTTATTGCTTTCTATTTCGCACAATACGTGTGTAGTGACTCTGTCAAAAGAAGATAAGGGGTGTACAGGCAGTTTGCGAATGCCTGGAACGAGATGTGCAGCATTGGTGATGTTTTGCGCTTTTCAGGGGAACGTCATTTGTACATCGCGAAGTCGTGTCATCGTCCAATTTTTAATCACGTCTTCCTTATAGAATAACATGCAAGTAAAGTAATCACATTTTCAGAACCGGTATTCGTTGTTTGTAACTGCGCCACTCAAATTTTCGGTGTGTTATTATTCACGGACGGAACAAGACGTTTTGACCCGCGTTATTTTGGCATATACCTGTGGTTGTTGTCATCGCTCGGTGCTGCAGTCGCCGATTTAAATCTCTTACTGAGTGGTGGTCATCGGCATCAGATTCGATTTAACCTATCCTGTTATGTATTAATGCGAGGTACGACGCAGTCAGA